TCTCTCTCTGTCTCTCTCTGTCTCTCTCTGTCTCTCTCTGTCTCTCTCTGTCTCTCTCTGTCTCTCTCTGTCTCTGACTCTCTGACTCTCTCTGTCTCCTCTAAACTTGTTTAGTCAGCCACAGATAAAAATCTATAGCTATGACTAGAAAAGAAGCAAAACTTATTTCCGTAGATACACCTATGGTATCAGAAACTAACAAAGCAAATGTTCATATAATGAGCCACTGTCTCTCTCCATTCCTGGAATACAGGCTGTTTAACTCTGCAGTTCACCTGATCTCTTTCCTCCAATCCAGGATATACAAAACTGAAGGATAATCTATAATTTGTCTCTCTTCTATAGCTTGAATCATTGCCATCAGGATGGCAGATATACCTTTTTTTAAAAAAAAAAAAAGTATATTTTTAACCCTGAACACTCCCTTTACAAAAATATGTAAATATTAACAGATATCTTCCTATTAAAATTGTCAAGATTGTGTGAAGCTTTAGTCTTGATCAAGAAATACAGGAAGATTTTGCTTTAGACTATGGCATTAGAATTTCTTTAAAGAATATTTATTTACATGTCTGTAGAGAAAACTAATTTATTTTTACATTTTTTTCTGGTAAGACTTTATTTAGCCCAAAGATACTCAGTTGATTTCCAGCACTTATGTTCCTGTTTGTCTGCTTTGCCTAAGTACTTTAAAAAAGGAAAAAAAAAATCAAGAGCGAAGTACTTTAGCACTGCTCTTTGTACTGTATATTTACTTCTGATATGAAATGAAAAAAATATATATTGAAGGGGATAACTTTTTTTGCCAAAATATTAAACTGTGTAACTTGTTTGACCAAAATATTAATGCACAAAGCCTTTAATTTTTTTAATCAGCTAAAACTCTTTCTGTAAGCATTTTGAGTTGCTTTTCCTGAGCTATTTCAAAACTTGAGAAGGCTTGATAAACATTACATTTGTAAATTAGATGCAAGGCTGTGTTACTTGAATGCAAATGGTGTACTTTTTTTGTTAAAAGATATTTTGTGAAATATAACATCAAGATATTAAATGTAAAAAAACAAGTGGATGAGGGGATTAGTGGTTGAGGGGATAATAAATAAAGCATAGTAGAAATGAAGGGCTTGTAAAATGAACTTTGTAACATTCTCAGGATGCTTTTATCTTAAGAATATAAAATTGTTTAAAAAGATTTTGTAAATTGTATTAAGGTCCTTTTAAATATGTTTCGCAAGTCACAGTGCAAACACTAAGAAGGTTTTTATGCACGTTACCTTAACTTTCAAATTGTGCAATAAACAGAATGTGAATATTTTGCCATGAAGAAATATGTGGCAGCATTTTCAAACTGATAGAGCTGTACAGTGGTTCAATTCTAATTGTTCTTCCACAACATTTATTAATAATTTAAATCAAAATTGGTATTATAACAGTTTAAGTACAGTGATGGACCAGAAAAGTGTCTAAAAGTAGCACCACCTTACCGAACAGACTTGCCCAATGCATACCTTGAACCTGCTCAGTGACAGAGTTTCTTCCTCTTTTTGTTCCCGTTAACAAAGCAAACCAATGTTAGGAGTAACAGAAGCCCCCAAAACCCTGACTTCGTAGTTGCTGATGTACATGCATTAGTTTTATGAATACATTAGAAGTTACGTTCAGAAAGTGTACAAAATCATGAGAACATTGTATAATGATGTCCTTGATGTTCCGTCAAATATATATATTTTGTTCATGTTAATATTTTAAGCTCAGCTTATCGTACTGGCAATTATAAAAAGCTGTTTTTTCATCTGTAAACTGAGCAGATTTTATGTGGGGTTTGCCAAGACGTAGAATGTTGCCAATTTTCTGAGTAGAACTGCACTTTGAATATCCATTCCTTCCTTTACCTGGCGAACTCACACTTACATCGGAAAAGTAATGAGTGGATGCAGGCATTTTCAATAATGTTTGTAGTTACCATAAGCTACTCTCAAAACTAAATTATGTAAAATCACAATGTATTTGCCACATCATAATCTTTCAAATAAATTCTGCAGACTCAACCTCCTATATTTTCATGTTGCTGCTACTTCGTTTTTAAACCAGATGTTTGTTTGCATAATGTTAACTAGGTAAATCATTTAATTGGTAGGTTTCTTAATCTAAAATGAGTCAACATTGAGTCAATGAGTCAATAATCAAAATGAGTCAGTTGTATCTAAAACTGAATTCAAAGCTCTTCCAGCTGCAGCCCTTAACACCTTCTCCTGATTTCTGCCTGTTGCAGGTCACCACACAAACAAAATGCTAATACTGGCTGCCCAGGGTTATATGTGTGTTAAATAGGCATGCATTCAAACCAATTTTAAAATTATGTTTAATAGTGTTTAATCATGATTAACTCCATGTCCACCCCCCCCCCAAAAAAAAAAAGCTGCAAATGCTTTGTAGTTGATATTGCCCTTTTTCAATATCATGGGTTAGAGCCCATGGCCTGTTCTAGCCTCTGCAGGGATGTGTAACACACGTTTGTGTTCCTCTCAGCAGCAGCCTGGTCCAAGTGCCCTGCTGTTAATCAGGATCTTAATGAGAGTCAAAACTCCGGCCATCAGGCACTTAAACTGACTTGCTGCTTACCAGCTGAGCAGATGTTTTGCTGATGTTGTGAGATACGTGCAGGGAAGGGAGGTTGGATGGCGCATGTGGGCATTCCTGCGCCCAGTGTGGGCTGGGCTCAATGTTCAGATCCTGTTTGGGCAGCCCCCGCGCCAGTTACAGGAACCCAACGGCAGCGATTCCCGAGGCTGCTGCCGCTCCCTTCCTGTCCCAGGGAGGCTTGATTAGATACGTCGGGAATGTGCTTTTTGGAAAAGGACAGAACGCACCTCCGATGGGGTGGAACTGAGCCAGGGCCTGCAGCCAAGGCTCCTAGTTTTTTTCCAATGTTTGCTTTTATTAAAACAGCAGCTGCGCCTCTCCAGGCAGACTCGGCACCCTCCCCACGTTGCTTTCTAGAAAGCGAGTGTAGTTTTGATCCGTTTTCCTTCAACCGTTTAGCTTTTGCACTGGCATCTGGGAGTGCTCTTCCGAGACGCCTGTCACCTGCCTTTGGCTAAGGGACATTTCGTGAAGAAAACGGCCCTTTTTTTTTTTACTTCTCCCTTCCACGGCAACGTGTTTCCAAAGACCGGGCAAGGGAACGTGAAACAACCGCCT